ATACATCAACATTAAATCCAAATCTAGCCCCCCCCCCACCTCCCGAGAATTTTGAAATTACATACAAAATTTTTTACGATGTATTAAAATTACGTATAAAGTACAGTTTTATATGAACTACCATCGTGAGCAATAGTATAGCACAAAATTTGAAGGTAGCTCAGCGGGCAATGTTCCCATTTTATCCCACTAGAGCCCAGTTCACGGCCTCTGTTCACGGCCGTGAACTCAGCATTGTCTCCAAAACGCACCGCTCAGGGTTCACGGTTGGCACTCAAAGTTCACGGTCTTAGAGACCGTGAACTTCCTGGTCGTTAGTAAATTCTAGAACCCTCCTGGACACCTCGCTGTTCACGGTTTGTGGTTCCAGTTCATGGCCTTAGAGGCCGTGAATTGCGGCTTCTTCCTGGACGCCTGCGCTTCACTGTTACGGGGCAATTGTCAAGGTCTTCTTCGGCCTTTTTGCGCTTTTTGACCTCCAATCGTCCCAAAACTCATCCTCGACCCTTCCACACGTGCTAGGACCTGAAATGTATCAAAACAAACACAACCTAGCGTGAAATATGTCGAGGTACGATGAAATGTAAAGCCAAACAATCAATATATGAGGGGTAAAATTTGTACAATTGGACTCGAATCAGCATGGCATGGAAAGCAGAAAGCAATGGCTGCCGATTTTGGTGACTGGGAAGAATCATATGCATTCCTTCCAAGATTGATTTTGACATTAGAGGTGTCTAACTTCGACACTGTTTTCTCCCCTCGCTACCAAGATGATGAAATTAAGCCGCCAAAGCCTGGTAGCAAACGACATTTCAAACGTCTTTTCTGGTCCTTCAAGCCATCTATTGATAGTTTTCCCTTCTGTGTCCCTATGATACAAGTGGACAACACATTTCTTACCGACAAGTACAAGGGCACTCTCCTAATCGCGAGTGGGACGGATGAAAACAGACAAGTCATTCATTTAGTTGTCAACATTGTTGAATGTTGAGGGAGAGAATGCCGATAGCTATGGATGGTTTTTTCGGCAAATTCTATTCCACGTCACCATGAGAACGAACCTAACAATCATCTCTGATCTCCACGCCCGGATCAGAGCTGCCATCTTAGGCTTGAATCCAGCCTGGAAGTGGTCCTAGAGGTGGTGCATAAGACACTTCAAGAGCAATTGGAATCATCAATTTAAACGGAGGAAGCTTGTTGACAGTCTATGGTGCACCGCTAAGCATTATATTTCATTGGAGAATTGATTTTGTTAACTGATAACATATGCTTTGAAATACAATACAAAACTTATTTAGACTCTTTATAAAGAGATGCATGCCTAAGGAAATGGGGTCTTAAGCGATCATCATGGTCCTCCCATTTCCTGGGAAAAACGGGTTTTAAGAGATTCTTGGATCCCCCCCTTTCTGTCAAAAAGGTTATGTTTATAAGGACATGTATACCTCTCATAAGAGTCTAACGAGTGTACTTGTATTGCTTTACCTCTTATATTACAGAACCATATACGAATGTGATCTACATAGGAGAGAACTATATTATACAAAGCAATAAATTTCCAAATGAGCTGAACAAATAACAAAGGAAGTAGATGTTTATTGATGGTTACCTCTGCTTCCCAAAGATGATCCAGCCTCCTCCGATACTCTTCCAGCTTGTGCTCCCCCAGGTTGTTGCATGTTGTTTGTCCAAGCCACCTTATTAAATCGACATACACACAAAATTATAACTAATTAATCATTAAGTACAACAAAAGAAATTGGAGCAATGATTGAGATTAGAGAAGTTTACCTACAACCATAAGCTTGGAGTCTATAGGGGTGGTCATCGCCCCATTCCTTGTCGGGATCTGAGACCGGAGCAATCCATGGCAGATGCTCTCAAGCCCAAAGTTGGACGATGAACATTGCCCCATCAATTTTCTTTACCGCTTTCGAAGTTGCATTACAGAGAGAGCGGTAGATATGTGCTAGGCATGCAGATGCCCAGCTTAGGTTCCCCATATCCTCCTTAGAACCAAGAAGGATCTTCACCTAACCATTACTGATTAAGTTGTTGGATTTCTTGGAGAAGAACACCCCTCCGATCATGCCGATGAGGTAGACACGCGCATAGATTTCCTTATGTACCTCATCACTTTGCTCCATGAGGGGCACAGTATTTTCAGCAGGGTCGTGCCTCTTCTTGATATGTCAACCAAGTGATGGATACTTGGCGGCTCTTCATTGTGGAAGACCATCTTCCTGGTCAGATCCTTGTCCCTTTGCAGGTACGAACAAATCCAAGGTGGTCCATATCAAATATTGTCATCCGTTCATCACGTCAACATCTGAGGGTGGTGGGTTATCGTCCACACACACATCGGCATCAATGGGCAAATCGGTTAGGATGGCGATGTCCTTCAGTGTGATGGTGCACTCGCCTTCAGAGAAGTTGAAGCAATGTGCCTCGGATCGCCATCTCTCCACCAATGTTGTGTTGAGTTGGCGGTCGATCTTTATTCCTACAAAATGTCTAATCGATTCCAATCTTGCCCTTCTTAGATAGAGCAAGATGGCGTCGTTCCATGGGAGCACATTGCTCGTACTCCCAGAGCGGACTATACGGTGTGCATCCTAGCGAATAAATTTACTTTCAACATAAATTTATGATTTATATATATATATATATATATATATATATGGTGGCTACTTCGGTGCACTCACTTTTTTGGGTGCACTCAACTCTAAAAGCGTCCATAATACATCAAATTTTGAACTTTAATTAGTACTCTCAATATAATATGATGATATGACATAGAATCATAACAAAATCAATCCATTGCCCTAACCCCTTGACATTCAATTTTGAATCCCAACCCAAAATCCCAAATTGTAAACCTAAACTCTAACCCTAAATCCCTAAATCCTAAATCCTTCGAATTAAAGTAAATTTTGAATGAATTTTTTTCAAATTCATGTGCTTCTTCTGCATAATATCATAAGCAACAATTGATACCGTTTTGAAATGAATCGCATGGTCAGAATGACAATGATGAGGCGGGTGCACCCGTAAAAGTGGGTGCACCGAATACGGCACTATATATATATTTATAAACAAACAAACAATATAGCATTAACAAAATAAAGGTATTTTCAAAATGTATACATAATTTACTAAAACAAACATATTAAATTAACTCAAATAAATGAATAGCATTTTGAAATATTTCATAAAATTAAATTTGTACACATACACATAAATTCATTATATTATTTTTTTAAAATCACATTGGTTGTTTTCAATAATTTAAACAATGAAATAACACTCGTTAGACTCTTAGGAGAGGTTTACATCTCAGTAGAAACACAGCCTTTTTGACAGAAAAATGGAGGATCCGGGAATCTCTCAAAACCCGATTCTCCCAGGAAATGGGAGGATCATGATGATCGCTTAAAACCTCATTTCCTTAGACATGCATCTCTTCATGAAGAGTCTAAGTAAGTGGCACATTGTATTGTTTTAAATTATTGAAAATAATCAACATGATTAACAATTAACAATTTTATTTTACAAACCACTAACTTACAATAACAAAATAAAAATATATAATTATGATATATTATAAGTACCTCGTGATCGTTTTAAATATTACTTGAACGATGATTAGATTGATCGTATATCACGGATGGATCAATCGGTCCTTGCTCCACATAATATTATTGGGTGGTATTTTTTTTAAATGGGGTATTAATGGAAAAATCCCCATTCTCCTTCCCTGACCCCTGTTATATGTATATTCAGTCCCACTTGCAGTGCGCTCACCCCTCAACTTGCACAAACTTCAGTCATCCCCAGCCAAGAGCCAACCATTCCCCCCACGATTCCCAATTACCCGGCCCGGCAGCAACGAAACGAAACACTTCCATCTTTTTTATTTATATTTAATAAAGTCACAACAGAAGAAGAAGAAAAAGAAAACTTCTAGAGATGGTCTATGCTGACAGCCAGCGAAGCCAACTTGCGGGTCTATTTCTTTTATTGTTATGATAATTTTAGAGTAGCCACTTGCAGATTATCGTGTTTCCTTCCTTTACTTTTCTTACGGTAGCGATTCATACAGATGAACAGAAGGTTGCAACTTGCAGGATTTGCGTCTCTCTCTCTCTCTCTTCTCTTTAGTCTTTCCCCACATGCTTTTAGGAAACCCTTTTATTGGTTTTATATGTAAATTCTTGATCAGGGCACAATATATGGTTGGTGGATGGATTGGTGGTTACATCAATTTATATACGTCCACTTGAATTGAAGAATATATATACATATAGATGTGGTACAAGTTGTATGTATGGTATGGGGTGGCAGTAGCTCTGATTCTCTTCACGTTATTCCCACCTCTACCACTTTCAATTCAAAATTCAAAAGCAATATAAATATATATAATTCCCGTGAAATACCTCAACTGGAAATTTCTACGTTTACCCTTCTCAGGAGAATTCCAAGTCTTCCCGGCATGTATAACTTTTTATTATTCAATACCAAAAAGAAAATATTCTGCTTTACCTTTTTTGTTTTTGTTTTTTTTAATCTGTGCTTGCACTCAACGAATAGGCTGCAAACGTAGAAATTAGTGACTGGTGAATTAATTTGGCGAAAAAAGAATCCATATGCTGCAAACGAACTACAACCTGACTGGCAGCCATGTTCGATCAAACGTTTTTTTGTGGGTTCGTGGGGGACATCATGGTTCGCTAAGAAACGATTTAGTTTTGAGTTGTTAGACTTTAGGTTAATTGATCATCGATCGCAAATGGATCGAGTACATCCACTCTCTCTCTCTCTCTAGATAGTGCGTACTTCCTAAGATAGATTAGGACCTCTTCCTCGTATAATATTAAAGTAACTAACCCCATAGGATTAGACAAAACGAACAAATGATTAAATATTCGTCCACCATTAGCAACCACTTGCATTATAATAGTCTCCGTCGGCAGCCCCTTCCGATACTCTTAAGTTGAAGTCAATCACATTTCTTTTCTCTAATTTCAGTCATTTAAAAATTACAACCACACAACAAAGAGATAATTAACCATGACCGATATTGGTTCAGGAAAATTAATGCGGATAATCAACAAACACAAATATCAAAATTGTATTACGAAAGACTCGAGCTAGCTAATACTTCCATACTAAGGCTCAGCTTATATATGGGTATCAGAACAAAAAAAAAATTCAGATTACAGTTGTACACAAGAAACCTAATCAAGCCCACTCGATCGACCCATCAGAATAATAATCAAATGAAATGAAGTCGTTCATTATGGTACAAGGGGACAGGAAATTACACTAAACTGGTAATAATTACGGAATGCAGTTTGATCGCGATTTCGATCTGCGCCTGACCGATCGAAACTCACAAAAGGACTCGTACTAATTGGGGTAGGTGGAGTACCACTCTAATAACATCTACAACCGACGACCATTTCTTTCACAATGAAAAAGAGAACTCACGATTGGGGTGCAGCCGGCGGCGACGACATCACCGACTTGCTCCGCCGCGCCAGGTCCTCGGCGATCTGTGCCAGCGACTGGAGGTTGCACCGGACGATGGTGTCGACGAAAACGCACGTGTCCTCCTTCGTGTTCCCGGGGGGCACATCCACGACGTAGGACTCCACCACCACGGTGCCGCCGGCGGGAGCCACGTGGAGGGTGGTGACGGATCGGTAGTTCGCCAGCCTGTGGTCCCCGCCCACGACGCTGAAGCTGAGGACGTGTCGCTCGTCGTCCAGGATCTCGAGGCGCTCGGTGCTGTGGGCCGCGGGGAGCCCCGAGATGACGTGGACCTCGCGGAGGGACCCCACGTCGCCGTCGCCGACGAGGACGTGGCAGCTCTTGACGAAGTGCTTGTAGGCCTGGGGGTTGTCGAACCTCCGCACGACGGACCACACGGTGGAGACGGGGGCCGTGGTCTGCTGCACGACGGCGGAGCTGCACTGGTTGGGCCCCACGGGGTGGCTGTGGTAGCGTGCGACGGCGTCGGGGAGGGGCGCGGCGGTCGGGGGAAGCGCGCACCAGCGCTTCTGGCAGGCGGCGGCGCCCGAGGAAGGGGCGGCGGCGGAGGTTGTGTCTTTGATGCGGTGGAGGAGGAGGGAGGATTTGGGAGGATTGGCAGGCATCTTTAGTTTAATTTGTTGATGATCGATCGGTTGGAAAGAGAGGGGGGTTTGATCAGGTGCGGTTGGTCGTATTGTATATGTATACAAGGGCGTGGTTCTGACTTGTGCGGCTGTGGGAGAGAGAATGGAAAGTAGGGAGGGAGAGTGGGTGGCTGAGTGCAGCTTTGTAGCAATTGGGAAGAGAGGGCGGAGGAGATGGGGTGGTCTGCATTTTCTATTGACAGGAAAATAAGAGAGAGAGAGAGAGAGAGAGGGGTTCAATGCGACTTCTCATGTGGGGATCAACAATAAAATATACAGCAACTTGCATTGGGCGGAAGTTACATGATTGCCCTTTGGTTTGTTTGTGTGTGTTAGTTTGGTTCTAGCTTTATGGTTTTGTTTAATTTGCATGTTTTTCATTTCATTATTATATGTTTTTGCAACTTGCAAGAGGAAGTCTCTGGTGGTGGTGGGTTTCGAAAATGGCAAGGGCTGCAGATCGACAATTTCAATGCTTTTTATTTTGTGCCGATTTGTCTTCCGTATCAAGGTTGTTAAACTCTTATCCAATCTTCGCTTGGATTCGGTCCAACCCGAGTCGAGCTTCAAACGGCTTTTAGAAAACTTTTCGATCTGACTCCTAAAGAGGGAGCAGAAGAGAGGAAGAGGAACAAAGGAAGGAAAATGGTGGGTGGATCATGGAGGTTAGGTAGATTTATTTTGTGGAAAATAAGTTTTTAATAGATATATGTAAGATATACTTTATTTCAGTCATTAAATCGTTAATTACTACCTTATTTGTATATATATTTAGAAAACGCGTAAAACGGTTCAAACCGGTCGAACCCCGATCAGACCATTAAACCTCAAACCCCTTACTTGACCGACTTAATGGCTTAAACCGGTTTGACAACCTTGCTTCATATGTTTTGGGTATTCTTAATTCTGGGTGGCAGAGTCATAATTAAAGATTAATTATAAGATTTTTTATGGGGATTCAAGAAGGCGTAATTCTGTTTACACTCATGTAAGGTTCAAAAGAGGGACGAGCGTTGGTGATATAATAATTTAATCACAACATTTTCACACTTCAATTCAAATGATTAATAAATTATTTAACAATCAACACTAAGAAATTAGTTAAAAAGTTCAAAGAATCACATCTCACAAATTTTTTGAGCTATTGAAAAGTTTGATATAGAAGATTGAGTTTGTAGATATTGTTAATTTCTCCTTTGATATTTAATGTCTAGCTCCTTCTAAAAATTCCTAGGCAGCAACACGTAGGCATCGTCTTGCTCTGTCGACGTGTTCTTGATACGTAACTCGCCACATAATCCAAAAGCAAGGCATTTTAGCACTGTGTAGCGCCAAAGCGTAAACTTAAGCACTCATTTTATAACCATGATTCAGGTATACTTAACTGCTAAATGATACCAAAACGTCTCGCCCATATATTTCATGACGAGTTAGGACTTAAACATTTTTTACTCGAATAACCCCTTATGAAGGACAAGTTCTCATTTTTGTCCTGTAAATAAGGCATTTCAATGAACGAAATATGCATCAAGCTCAAAAAATGCGTAAATCTTACAAATGATGAACCTTTTCCCTATAATATCCAATGAGGTATTAGAGGAAAAATGATGATTAATTAGAACATCCCCATTAGGTTTTCATAACCATAGGTGTTGGTATAATGATTTCCGATATTCTCCACGAAGTGCATTGGAACAATCCCCAATTGAAGTACAACCTGTATTTATTAATGTATCGAGACGTAGGTAAAATATCATTGAAATTAAATTTTGTCCCAATATAAGTATTTAAGATACCAACCTCATTATTAAAGCGCATTATCGTGACACCTTGTTGTTTCTCAATACGATCATTAAAAACTACCACATAATATCTTGATAACGGAATATTTTTCTATTAGAACAGTCAAATGATTTTAACGTGATGATGTTGATGCTAATAGCTAGGCATTGATTTTTCTTACCGAACTCTGGATAAACTCTTCTAATAGGTGGAATATTGTTAATTGACTGTAGTACACAAGTGGATGTAGAAAGTGACAACCGTGGTTCTTTGAAATTTAGAAAAATTTCAGAACCTTGTTGATAGATTTGAAATATTCCAAATAATTGGGAGCTTTCACCAGGATATATGAACACCCAAATTCTTGGGCGAGGACAATTCTAAAGGATTTATTTCCTTTGTATTAGATTATTTAAAATTATCTGACCCTTCTTTAAATAACTATGAGAGATTTTCTTGATAATAGGGTTAATAGTGTTAACAAATCGGTAAACCAAATTAGTATGATAGGCCAAGTTTTTGTCTTCGGGATTCGTATTATCCATTTTCATGGACTTCATATTAGGATTAATGAATTACCTAGACACTTAGCTTCCAAAACTATGATATAATTTGGTAGGATTAGAACCAAAAAGGGTCATGTGCCAAGTTTGTTTGGGCTCCTAATATTAGCTAATTGTTAAACTCCTTCCAACATTATGAAAGACAACAACTATCACCGGAAAGATCCATAGGCAAGTTGAATTATGGTATCAACCCTACTTGAACTAATCCTATATGAATATATATGTATTCTACTTTTGCCTTTTTCTTCATATCCCTAATTTTTCCCGTATTGACTGAATGGACATCTATAATTTGTTATTTTTACTAGAAACCTTTGCAGTGGACTCCAAATAAGAAACATTTACTATCGATCTGAAGTTGTATATTGACTTTTTTTAAATAACGTTAATTTCTATTTAGGCAAATTCCACTCTAAGTGATCGGTTGATTGATCATCATACATGAAAGATTTTCTTGAACCAGAGTGTTATCAAATGGGACTAACTCTTCATTCATCATGAAGAGTTGTGATGTCCAAATCATGGTTAAAAAAGGCACGTATAAATCTCTTTATGCTACAAATTAAGGTTGTACATTTATGTTTTGGTACAGTTTGAAGTTGTACCATAAAATATAGGTACAAATTTTTTTATGATACAACTTCAATTTGTACTTTTAACGTTACGGTACAAATTAAAGTTTGTACTTTAAAACACCAATATTTTAAATCATAGTAGAAGTGCTCGTATCATACCTATCTTTTTTTTTTTAATAAGATTACAAGAATTGTTGGTGTGCAACCTTTTTAGGATTAATCAGATTTTGTTGATGAACCTTTAACAGCATCGGATCCTTCCATAACCTTATGGTCAATAACCATGCACAATCTGCCATATCAGCGCTACATAATCATTTATGGAAGGCTTCTAAACTTTTTTCCTCTAAATTTTAACGGGTTATATCTATGTTGTCTTAAGTTGGAATTTAATTTTTTTGCACATATAAATCAGATTAATTGTGCTCTTCAGTTGGAATTTAATTGCCTGCATCTACTCCATTAATTGGTCAGATTAGTTTTACACCTGACGGGTTAGAAGAGATGTTTGTTTCTGTCGAACATCGTCGTCTTCCTATGATTTGTAAGGCTTGTAAGCAGTTTGGGCATGATTGTTCTAGGCCTATTGGGGGAAGAACTAAGTAGATATGGAGAGTTAAGGAAAAAAGAACTGTAGTGGAGTCTGTTGAGCTATCTGGGAAGGGAAAGGATATTCAAGTGGATTCAGCTCGGGTAGCTGAGGAGGTTGGATGCTCTAGCACTAGGGAGATGATCATTCCACCGATCACACCTAGTGCTCTACCATCTACAGAAGCTTTTAACACTGTGGTGAATGGGAGTAGGCCTCGTGATGTGCAGGTTTTGCCACCGCCAAAATTGATGAACTCTTTTGCTGCTATTTGTGCTAAGCCACCAGTAATAATCAAGCCAGTTCCTATTAAGGCTGGGCGTGAAGGGTTAAGAAGTGCAAAGGGATATGCTCCATCAACTCGCCTTGCAAGATGACTGTCCTTGTTTAGAATGCAAGGGGGCTTTAATGGCCCCTTGAAACATGATGCCCTGCGAGATTATCTTTGTAGGTATCATGTCAATTTGTTTGCATCAGTAGAGACTAGAGTACAAAAAATAAATGCTAAAAAGATTCAGGATAAATTTCTGGGTTTCCAGTTTATTTATAACTATAGCAAGAACTCATTGGGGCGTATTTGGGTTGCTTGGAATGATGATGTAAAGATCAGCATGTTAGAGGAAGATGAGTTCTACATTCATCTTCTGGTCTCATATTCAAACAGGGACAAATTCTTTTTTACTATCGTATATGGTTCAAATGTGGAAAAGCAACATGCTAGCAAGTATGGTCGATTGCGTGGTAAAATGGTGCAGGGGTTTCCCTGGATTGTTTTTGGTGACTTTAATGCGTTTATGCATCCGAATGAGGCAGTCCCAGTGGCTCCTATTTCTTCTAGTATGATGGATTTTCGTATTTGGGTTGCTGAGATGGAGCTGGTAGACCGTAAAGCATCAGGTCCTCCGCTCACCTGGTCCAGTCAGTAGCAAGGAAGGCCTATAGCAAGAAAATTGGATCGTGTACTGGTGAATAAGGATTGGTTAAGTCAATTTCCGGATTGTGTGGTTGAATTTCTCCCTCCAGATTTCTTAGATCACTATGGTATGTTGGTGAAACCAAGAGTTCATAGGAAAACCTTCCCTAAACCTTTTAGATTCTTTGATATGTGGATTACACATGAAACATACTCAGAGCTTCTTAAAGGGATTTTGGACAGACTAGAAGATCCTTGGATTCTAGCTGGGGTCAAAAGGAAACTCAAGCAAACTAAATGTGTGCTCAAACAGCTAAATAAAAAGGTCCTCTCTGACATAAGTGGTAGAGTAAAATTTGCCGCTGAAAAGATGAAAGATGTGCAATTAGTGGCTCTCTCAAATCCGTGTCCTGATTCATATGCTGAGGAAGCTAGATGCACAAAGGAGTGGCAATTTCTATAGCAGGCTGAAGAGAGTTTTCTTCAACAGAAATCATGCATCAATTGGCTTACCCGAGGGGATTCCAACACAAATTTCTTTCATAAATCTGTTAGAATCCGTCAAGCTAAAAAACAGATCAGGAAATTGGTACTAGACACAGGTGAGGAAGTAACAGAGGTTGAAGAAATAGCACAGGAGGCTATTGATTACTATCAGAAGCTCTTTGGTACTATTAACAATGCTGTGAAACAAGACTCTGTGTATCTGGAAAAACAAATCAGGAAGAAGTTGAGTGTGGAGGAAGGCAGATTCTTATGTTGCGTTGTAGCTGCTGAAGAGATCCGTGTTGCTTTGTTTGAGATGGATCCTACAAAAAGTCCAGGTCCAGATGGATGGACTGTTGGTTTTTATCAGAAAAGCTGGCAGTTTGTTGGTAAATCAATAGTGGCAGGAATCCAAGAATTTTTCTCTACAGGGCGAATGCCTCAAGGTATGAATGCCACTCCACTCACCCTTTGCCCTAAATGCCCGAATGCTATGACCCTGAATTACTATAGACCAATAGCTTGTATAAATGTGATCTATAAGATTGTGTCTAAGCTAATTTCAAATAGAATTAAGGATGTATTGCCTAATGTGATTAGTTTAAATCAGTTGGCTTTCATCAAGGGTAGGAGTATCCTGGAGAATATACTAATGGCACAGGAACTGGTTCAGAATTATAAGAAAAAGGGTATTGCATCCAGAAGCGCAGTTAAGGTGGATTTAAGGAATCAAAACTAGAGATAAGCTTATGGTTTGGGGAATCGTTGATAGTAATGAATGCATTCTTTGTGGGGGATCAAATGAAACAAGATATCATATTTTT